TCAGCTGACTACTTGTATATACTGAATGACCAGGTTATGCCATCTTCCCTGATGGCACGGGCATATTCCAAGATGACAATGCCAGGACTCATCTGGCTCAAACTGTGAAACAGTGCATGAAACATCATTTTCACTCATGGATTGGCCGCCACAGAGTCCAGACTTCAACCTTATTGAAAACCTTTGAGATGTGTTAGAGAAGGCTTTGTGCAGCGGTCAGACTACCATCATCAATGCAAGATCTTGATGAAACATTGATGCAACACTGGATGGAAATAAAACTTGTGACGTTCCAGAAGCTGATCAAAGCAAAGTCACAGCAAATCTGAGCCGTAATCAAAGCTAAAGTTTGTCCAACAAAATATCCTGCAATTTAGAATAATGCTAAATTTCTTTTCAGTACAGTTGCCAAACTTACACAGAATCATAGCTCTGAGCCATCTATTCCCCTAACCTTCAGCAGCAATGACTTCATGGGATTTTTTACAAGTAAAATTAATTCTATTAGAAACAAAATCTTTAGCATCCTCCCTAATGCGATTTCTTCTTCCTCAGTAAGTGAGGCAGCATCAAAGGTGACTGTAGAACCTCATCTGTGCTTGAACCGTTTTGATCCAGTTGAGCTTTCAGAGTTATCAAAAATATTAGCTTCATCTAAACCTTCAACTTGCATTTTGGATCCAATCCCAACCAAATTATTTAAAGAAGCATTTCCTTTGGTTACTGCCCCCATTCTAAATATAATCAATCTATCCTTAGTAAATGGATGTGTACCACAGGATTTTAAGGTTGCTGTAATCAAACCTTCACTTAAGAAGCCTTCTCTGGATCCAGATGACCCAATGAATTATAGACCAATATCTAACCTTCCATTTTTATCCAAAGTCCTGGAGAAAATAGTGGCCATCCAAGTATGTGAGCATTTAAACACTAATGATCTGTTTGAGAAATTTCAGTCTGGTTTCAGAGAGTATCACAGCACTGAAACTGCATTAGTGAGAGTTACAAATGATATTCTCATGGCCTCAGATAAGAATCTTGTGTCTGTTCCAGTCTTGTTAGATCTCAGTGCTGCCTTTGACACAGTTGATCACAATGTTCTTTTAGAAAGGCTTGAACATGTTGTAGGGATCAAAGGAACAGCGTTAGGCTGGTTTAAATCCTACCTGTCTGATAGATTTCATTTTGTAAATGTACATGACAAACCGTCTTCATACTCCAGGGTTACTTGTGGAGTACCACAGGGTTCAGTGCTTGGACCAATTCTTTTTACTATATATATGCTCCCAATTGGTAAAATCATTAGACAGCATGGGATAAACTTCCACTGATATGCTGACGATACTCAGTTATATTTATCCATTAACCCTGATGAACCTAATCGGTTGGGTAGATTACAGTATACTAGGATAAATTCAATAAAGTTTATCTCACACCAAATAGAATCCCAATGTAACCATAGAAAAACTACTTGGTACATATGTTGTGTGTGTGTGCGTGCGTGCGTGCGTGTGTGCGTGCGTGCGTGCGTGCGTGTGTGTGTGTGTGTGTGTGTGTGTGTGTGTGTGTGTGCCTGCTCTGTCTTCTCGATCCCCAGTGAGTCGTGGATGATGGCTGCTTATACTGAGCCAGGATTCTCTGGAGGTTTCTTCCTGTTAATATGGAGTTTTCCTCTCCACTGTCACTAAATGCTTGCTTAGTATGAGGATTGCTGTATAGTCACTGACACTAGTCAGTGACTTGATGCAATCTGCTGGGTTCTTTATATAGGAAACTTTTTTTCTCATTGGCTTAATGAACTGACCTGAATTGGAATGTTTATTATGTGAAGTGCCTTGAGACGACTCTTGTCGTGATTTGGCGCTATATAAATAAACTTGAATTGAATCAGTGTGGTTTCTGGTCAGCAGGGTGCTGCAGAGTGCTGTCCAATGTGAAGTTGGTAAAGTTTCTACCTACACAAACACTGAAAGCCACTTTTAAACAAACTAAAGTGTTAAAAACTGTGTGATGTTACTTTAAGTCCTTGTGCTGCACAAATATTTACTGTTTAAGTTTTGTGGAAAAGTCAGAATTTATTTGCTTTTAGCTACAAATGGCCCACAGAAAGCAAAAAAAGCGTTTTGAATATTTTCAGAGGTGTGACCGAGTCACTGCTTTGCAAGTCACAAGTATGTCACAAGTCTGTCCCACCAAGTCTTGAGTCAAGTCCAAGTCAAAGACAACCAAGTCCAAGTCAAGTCCAAGTCTTTAACTTTGAATTTTCAAGTCATAATCAAGTCATCTGTCAACCTTCAATTTAATGACAATGATAAATAAATCCCAGAAGTAAAGCTTCTTAAAGCTTCATTTATTTGCTCAAACAAGCAGAAAGTGCAACTGAAGCTGATTATAAACAAAGTGCACAAAATATTTACTGTAAAAGATCAAACCCAGAACGAAGAACGATTCATGATTTTTGTCCATGTTGTGCCACTTTTGTGCTAAACCATCAAATGTGCTTAAGTCATCATCAAGTCAACAGACACAAGTCAATTCAAGTCACAAGTCACTGGCGTTCAAGTCTGAGTGAAGTTGTATGTCTTTATAGATTTTATCAAGTCAAGTCAGAAGTCCTTAAAATAATGACTCGAATCTGACTCGATTCCCAGTCATGTGACTCGAGTCCACACCTCTGAATGTTTTAAATCAGATTAACAGTTTAGGAATTTCATTTGGGCAAATACAAATGAGATCACCTGCTATTTACACAGGTTCTGTGTGCATGCTGCTGTTGAAAGGAAGAACTAAAAGAAATCACTGAGCAACAAATGTAAAGCTTCTTGTAGAGATGCTGGCAGAGCCTGCAAGAGTCAGGCGCAGAACAAAAATAAAGATGTTAGGTAAATTTGTTCTCTCAATTTAGCAAAACATATGCAAGAACATGAAACAACATGCACTGGTGTCTGTGTGCAGCAGGTGTTGTGCTGGTTTGTGTTTAGGAGGGTTTAGCTAAACAGAGAAACAGATGTCAACACCAGCTGTAAAACAAAATTTGGAGATGAAACAGCAACATCTGGCTCTATTCTTTACATACACCATCAGAATTGACTGTAGTGTCCAGTTATTACATACAGTGTTTGTAGAAATATACATTTCTTTTGCTTTGATTTATAGAGGCTGAACTGTTCACTATTTTAGTTTTTGTATGACTTTTTGCAGAAGATGGGTGTGTTCCCATTGACAGAACTTCAAGGTAATTTCTGGGAGGGTAAAACTGACCGGGAGATACGATGAGTCAGTCCTCTCAACTGTTGCATCTCCATACAAAGTCAGCCCTTTCAAGACTTTAAGAGCATGTCGGGACTGTTTTGGCAGCAAGTGATGTCACTGATAAGCTCCAAAAAGCCTCCACACTAACATTAAAACTTTTATTTTGTCAAAGCATGGAATTTCAATTCATTTGGAGGACATGAGTGCCGCTGTGCGATGTAAAATGTGGCTTTCAATGAAGACAACATATGTATTTTCTCACGATGCCTAAGCAATCCCCACGATTAACATGGTTGTGTGTGTGTGTGTGTGTGTGTGTGTGTGGGGGGGGGGGGGGGGGGGGGGGTTCCACTGCGCTATTCAGTGTTGGGACTTTAGTAACAGCGATTTAATGCAGTGTGAGCTGCACTTATTTTCTTTGGTTTCCATTCTGCTTCACAAGCAACTCTTCTCATGTTATTAATGCTGGTTGTTTAGGACGTCTGCTGATGTCACTTTTAGTGATGGGATTTATGGCTCTTACATGGGAGCCGTTCATTAGTCGGTCGTTTACCTCAAACAGTGGTGGAAACAAGATGGCGCCGGTGTTCATGGCTTACGGTCTGTCACTACCAGTGTTATGTTTGTTTGTTTTGATTTTATTGACTATTGTAGGAAATGCCAACTCTCTCTTGGTATATGATCGCCTATCCCAACTGGATCTCCGACCTTCTACCAAAAGCTGGGCGAAATGGAACCAAGCTGGACATAAAACTTTGCCCCCGCTAATTTCGGAGATCCCGGCTCACCTGTACCGTGTCCCACATCCACCTCTCCGGCATAAGTACCGTCGCCGGGGTTGCCTGGCCGGCTTCCTGGTGAAGCTGAAAGCTTCTTTTTGCTGTTCTCACAAGCCCTTGTTTAGAAAACAAGGAGCGGCGCCTGCCCTCCGCTTTTCTCGGCGATCGTTGGATCCTGTCTGTGCCTGGCTGGTACCTGTCTTCGGCCTGGATGGGACGTCCCAGACCCGAAAACCCTGCTCTCCTCATCCCCGCGGCGTGGTGTGAATCCATGTAACCTGCGGCCTCTGTGTCTGGCTTCTATGACGGCTAGTGATGGGGACCCGCCGCTTACTGCCAGGTTTGGCCTGGTAAATGCTAGGTCCCTAGCGAATAAAACATTTATTTTGAAGGATTTTTTACATCCCGAGGACTCGATTTTCTCTGTGTGTGCGAGACGTGGCTGAGCGCCGGTGAGTGCAGCATCTTCTCTGATCTTCTACCTGGCGATTGCTGCTATTTTAATGCCCCGCGTTTGTTGGGCCGAGGAGGAGGAATAGCCACTATCTTTAAAAGTCATTTTAGATGTAAACAGCTACCAACCCCGTCGCTTACCAGCTTTGAACTGTCTGTGTTTGAGCTGGGCTGCGCTCACACGGCGTTCCTGAATGTACCCAGGACTGGATGTAAACTTAGAGGAGATCGCGCCTTTGCTGTAGCAGCTCCTAAACGGTGGATTGAGCTTCCTTTAGAGATAAGACAGGCCAGTTCCTTACCTGTTTTTAAGCCACTCTTGAAAACCCACCTCTTTACCCTTGCTTTTGACACAATGTGAGATGTCGGTTACAATTTTTTTTTAGTTTTGACTTATTTTAGCTGTTTTTGTGTGTTTCAATGCTGTTTTTATCTAGTTTTTATTCTTATTATTGGGCTGTTTTAATTTTACGTCTCCTGTGTTTTATTTATTTCTCTTTGCTCCTTTCTGTTTATTCTACTGTTTAAATGTATTTTCTGTACAGTACTTTGTTCCTGTGCTGGGTGTTTTAAAGTGCTTTATAAATAAATGAACTGAACTGACGTCTGCTGATGTCAGGTTTATTGATGGGATTTATGGCTCTTTCATGAGAGCCGTTCATTAGTTGGTGTTGTGTGACGGGGTGAGTACTCCCTCTTCTCCACAACATCTTTGTAAGACTGTCATTCCAGGAGAGGGCACTCACCAGCTGCGGGGCATTACCGATCAGTGGCAGCTGCAGATCCTCTAATCAACCGCAGCAGAGCTCTATTTAAGAGGAGAGGGAACCACTTCACATCGCTGGATGATTAACTACTCACGGTAGAATCTTGCCACTCAGTTCTAGGTTTTGCTTTGTCTATTCTCAGACATTCGTGTTGTCGCAGTTTTGGATTTTTCTGGTTTTTTGTGCTTGGATTTTGGTGTTTGGACTCAAGTTTGTTTCATCTTCAGGATACTTGGAATCATTGAACCACTGATGGATGTACCTACCTGGAAGTCACCATAACCCGCCTGGATTACACACTCAAGGTTCACCTCTCCTCCTTCTTCACTTGCCCTCTGCCGCCATCATCTGGCTCCCTCTCCTGGACGCACCCCGTCACACCGTCTGCCCTCCCTGCTGGCTTTTGGACTCTTGCCGACTACTTCACACTTGGATATCTCCAGGACACTTTTAGTTAGGGTTAATAAATCATTGTTTGAACTTTCTGCCTTTGTCCTGTGATGGTTCTTCATGTCGTGGGTTAAACACCTTCCCAGGAACATGACAGTCGGTCGTTTACCTCAAAGAGCCGTTCAAAAGACTAGCTCCTTTGATTGAAGTGAAGCGAAGAGAGCGGGGGGTGGGGAGGTGGGGGTGGGGGTATTACGAGCAGGTGCTCGTGAGGTCGCACGGTGGTTGGGTAGTGTTCCGCTGACGTCCATCATAGCGGTGGGTGGGGGTTGAGTGGGTGCGCTTTACAGCATCCAGGGAGGTTTGTTACCGGAAGACAAGATGAACGGCTCTCTACAGGGACTCTGCTCCCATCAATCATTTTGAAAACCCGTTCAAAAGATTTGATTAGTTCGTAAACATCACATTAGTAGTCATGTTCGACTGAGTAACAAATAAACGGTGTGAGTTAACCAAAAGTTCCGCTCAGCAACTCTACCGGGCCTTTCTCAGTACCTACCCCTGTCTAGTTTCCTGAAGGCTCTGCCTGCATCTCTACCTTTCCTGCAGGTTCGATCCCAGCTTCAGACAGAGAATTCTGCTGTTGTGTCCTTGGGCAGGACACTTAACCCACCGCACCAGCTGGTGGTGGTCGGAGGAACCGGTGGTGCCTGTGCTCGGTAGTCTCGCCTCTGTCAGCGCGCCCCAGGGCGGCCGTGGCTACACTGTATCTCATCACCATCAGTGTGTGAATGCGTGTGTGAACGGATGAATGCTCCACTGTCTTCAGGCCTGAACCTTTAGCATGCACCAGGGTGGTTCGCAGTTGAATGTGAAGAAGTCCAGATGGACGGCAGCTCCTCTGGATCTGAGGCACTAACATTCTCCCTCAAGTTTAGGAGCTTTGCCTTAAAACAGCAATCCAGAGTTTTCCACATTCAGGAATTATGTATGAGTTTTTTTAGAAATACATAACAGTGATAGTCCTAACCTGTACTGTGATATAATGTAGGCCATGTCCCTCCTATCCCCTCCCCCAAAAACTACGTCCATGATTCACGGCAGCTGGAATTGATAAGGAAGCTGTTTGCAAAAATGGCGAACTATTCCAAAGACCTGAACTGGTGAGAACCGGCTCTCAACAAGAACTGGTTTTGGATTCCCACCCCTAGTCTTACTGACATGTAAACTGGGAGAAAGGCTCTCATTCTGTTTAAGGTCTTAGCTTGATCATTGCTGTAGTTTTACTTACACGTGCATGTAGCTTCTCTGAAATTCCCGCCCCCACATCCCCACCCCAGATAAAGGTTAGATATGAACATCTCATTTTGGTATTTGATTAATTAAATGCAGTATACAGAAGTTTTCACATGATGGTGGAATCTCTAGTTTTGTTTTCTTTAACAGCATGTTCTTCATTTAAAACACCTACAATTTAGAAAACAGTGAAGCTGAATGCTAAAATTAAACTCATCACCTTCTTGGTTGACTTCAACCTCAAGCCTGGCTGAAAGAAGACCTTCAGAATACAGAAAGCTCCGTTCACAGCTCAAGGTTAATCTGGTTTTGTATAGCAGCCTTCAGGTCTTTAACGACTTTGGGCCAAACTGAAAAGGGATGGCGACTTTTTCTCTGCTTGGGAAATGTTTGGTGAGGATGTCTTTCATCAGCTCATCAACTTCGGCTGGCTCTGCATTATTTATTGGCTTGTTACTGTAATCAAAAATTCTTCCTTATTTATTTATGTATCTGTTTTTTGGGAGGGCGAGGGAGATGATGCATATTGGAGGCTGGGCGCTCTGCGAGTCTGAGCCTTTTTTATGTGAAACGAGATACCGCTGAGACATCCCTCGGGTAGAAAGACACACTCAGACACAAACACACACGGTTTGAATACAAAGCTGTGGAAGAAAACTTGTGCATGCATGCAGCACGATATCTCCAACTTCCCTTTTGTTTTGCTCATGAATGTTAATCACAACAGAATGCAAAGACAGATTCACCCGTTTTAAAACGCCGCTGTGTTGGTTTACAGGCTGTTGGCCAAACTGTTCTCAATACTTAACGTCACTGCAGTGTTATGATACTGAACTCTGTTATTCTTGACACCGTCCTGTCAGTTGCAGAGCTGTTTCCCGCAGAGGCAAAGAAAGCATAAAACCCTCCATTACAGTAGGAATGGTGCGTGCCACATGAAAAGACATGTGTGGGTCAAGATGATGTGTTTTTAAAGTGTGTTTACATAAAAAAGCCTAACGAGCAGTGAACACACAGCCATCTCACTGCTGGAGTCTTCAACCACAGCGTGAAAATACTTTCCTGACAGTCACTTCCATAAAAAATGAAGTTGTAGCCCACAGGAACCTGTGATTTCTTGTGATTCAACCAACAACCAACCACCTCATCAAAGCCGAGACCATACCAAGGTTCTTGATAATGCAGCTTCCTTCCCGCAAACTTACTGGTAGGCTGATCCGAGCGGTGTGGAGGTGCATCCTGAGTGGACAAACACATTCCTACACCGCCACCAAATGCTCCACCCTCTGGACAGAAGGCTAATCACAGGCTTTCCCTCCTCACTTCTCGGAACGGGCCTTGGTGAGACACAACTCATACTGTAATTATAGGAATACAAATCTTTGAGATAAAATCCTTTATTTATCAAAACAGTATGCTTGGTTTGAGAGCAGTTGACCTAACTCTTCATAGTGCTGCTGCTTGCTTTAGCTCTTATTTACCACAGAACTTCATGTATTCTGAATTGTGAGTACTGAAACTCTAATTTCCCTCTGGGATCAATAAAGTATCTTTGAATTTGAATTTGAATATATTTTCAAGTTGTAAATAATAAATTACAGACTGAGTCATAATAAATTACAGACTGAGTCAGAGTGAAAGATAAACAAATGTCTGGCTTTAGTATTAGCTATGTCGGATAAATATCTAAAAAAATCAACCAGTTTATTACTTGTGATTTTTGAAAATACGATCAATCACTCTGAGTTAAGCAAGCAGGCTGAACAGTATTTTACCCCAATAGATGAGGAAATGCTCCGATTAGAAAAAATCACATTGAAAATCAGCATTCATGGACTCATCCGTCATGGCTCGTGGCAGGGAAGGCTGTTGTTGTTTTAGCGCCCAGGAGAGAGCAGAGCACGTCTCGGCTAGTAGAAGCTAACCATCAACATTAGCAACTCCACCACACAACATAATTCCTTCAGGCTTGTGTTATTTGTGGAGATGAAACATCAACGTTGCAGAGAAAGAAGCTGAGTCAGTGATAGAGTCATGTTGCTGTTAGCCAATCAGAGGCAAGATGTCAGAATATCAGTTAATAAGGCCTAGTCCACACATAGCCGGGTTTTAAAAAAAACGAATATCTGCCCCTCCAAAAACTTGCATCCACACCACCTCATTTAAAAAAAACTCTGTCCACACGTACCCGGAAAAATACGTTGTTAAGGACATGCCAGACCTGTAGGCGGCAGTACTTCCCCCGTTCTTAACCTCGTCCTTCGTCTGTGGTCTTCCGCAAGGAGCAGTAACTCTGCTTGCAAAAACAAACAAGCAAAAAGCGCTTGGACGATTGATAAAGCGAGCGCAGCTCTGAGGGCATCCATGCTGTCGGCTAGTGTAAACACAGGTCGCACACGTGATGTCAGCATTTTTTGTCGCGGAAAGTGACGTTGCGGACCTTAAAACTCCGGTTTTGTCTGTCCACACGCAGACACCCAAAACGGAGAAAACACAGATCTTCACTTTGGCCGGAGTTTTTAAAAAGATCCGTTTTCGTGTGAAAAAACTCCGTTTTTGTGTGGATGACAGGCCAAAACGTAGAAAATATCTACGTTTTGGCAGATCCCGGGCTACGTGTGGACAGGGCCTGAGTCACCATAACTTGAAGTCTTCTGCTCACTTTTACCTTGGCTTTCCTGAATCAAGAGCACCAGAGCTTTTTTCCCCCACAGAGATCATCTCATGAGGCCTTCATTTAAGCTAGAAATGACTCCAAATGTGTTTAAAAACAACTGAACTTGGCCTTGAAACATTTAAATTTTAGCATTTCTTTCATTCTAGGGGTTTTAAACCTAAGTAGAGAAATTATGGAGTTATAATTTGTTTGGTCAAATCCGTAAAATAACATTATGCCCAATCTCACGCAATGTTTCAAAATCTCTCTTGATCTGTTAGCATCTGGGCTAGGTTGTAAATCACTCTCAGTTGCTAACACACCAGACTAGCTCCATACATTTACATCTGGCAAACCATTTTTGTGCTGGATAAAACTGGAGCAGCCATTTTAGATTGTTTTGATTTGAAAACAACATATTGTTCACGTGGATCCAGATTTACAAGCACAGATCCAGACTCAGAAAAAAACATAAAGTTTCAACACTTTCCACAAAAATATTTACAAAGATCTTGTTTGCTTTGCTGTAGATCAGCAATATATATATATATATATATATATATATATATATATATATATATATATATATATATATATATATATATATATATATATATCAGACGTCAAGCTAACCAGACAGGGTTAAAAAAAATATGATCGAGCTTTTTCTTCATCACTTTCATTTTTAAATAGTAATGAATAAACATTCGATACCATTACAATTTCCTTTGATTTAATTTTAAATAAATATTTAGGGTGCCCAGGTAGCACATAAAAAATGCAATTTAACGGTTTTCTTAACGTAGGAACGTTTAACCTGTGCGGCCAGAGCGCTCTCCTTCCTTCTGCTCTGCGTAAACCTGAGCTGATCACCTACTTGTGCGTAATCAAATGTCAATAGGGGGAAAAGATGGAAAAGATATAGCCATGAGGTTCACTTTTACCTCAGACCGACTTATCGCTGTTTTATGGTGTGGCTGAATCTGCGATCCGCTGCCACGCGGACTGGAATAACAAATGCTGCAATGACATGAGTTGTAGTCAGGTTCATGAGGAGTCACTGGCTGGAGCGGACCCGACTTTAATAGGTCATCCCAAAATAGAAGCTAATATCTTAATATGACCTGGAATGAAAAATGTTAT